GGGGGGGATGGACTAGAGGAGGGTGGCATTTGCTACGGAGATTCGAGTGTCGGCGACAGTGTGTTTGGCGATTGCGCGTTCGGTTGCGACAAAGATGGCCTCGGAGTCGGGGTCCCAGCAGAGACCGCTTATGTTTGTTGCGCCAGCAGCCATGGCTGTTGGTGGAGTTGATGATGTTGCTGTTGATGTGGGGGACCAATTGAGGAGGTCTGGAAAGTAGTTGGAGCCTCTTGAGGTGGCGATTTGGTCGGACGAGGGACCACGGTCTACCAAGTTGATGGCACGGTTCCACTCGCGCATAAAGGTGGCATGGATCATTGATCTTCTTTCCCTATCCCTCGCAATTGCATCTTGACCAGTTAGCAATCGAAATCGATCCGTGTCGACCATACTCGTTGTGAGGGGGATTCTTCGTTCTGACCATGTGCTCGACTCGGGAGCGACGGTGGGTGCTGCTACCCTTTGTACATCTTCAAACGTTACCGTGTCGGCAACGTGAAAGAAGTTTCGATGCTCCGTGTAGGCCAAGAACCTTCCATCTGGTGAGAACTTGACCACCCGTGCTGCTCCACTACCGCTGCTACTCGATGCCTGACTTGTAGTGAGCGCTGCTAAGCGTCGACTACTGCGTACATCCCATACCGACACAACACCGTCCTGACTGGCGACTGCGAATTTGCTGCCATCGGGTGACCAGGTGGTGCTAAAACATGCATCGCTAGAGGCAGTATACGTGGCCACTTTAACGTGCTCGCCCGACCTCGAAACGCTGTGGATAAAGACATCGGGTGTATCACCCACCGCAATCAGTGTGCGCTGATCGGGCGACAGCGAAGAGTGATTGATAGCTGTGGGGAAATGCAGCGTGGTGTTGCGCGATAGACCGGGCAGACCCGACTCGATGCGTCCATCCGTGCCGGCGCTCGACTTGGGCGGACGCAGCTTGTAGAGCTTGATTGACTGGTCGTTGTTGGACACCATCACCTTGATGGGTGCGATTGGCGCAATGGCCGATGCGAGGGATGACGGAATGGACGAGGTGCGCCGAGCACGCACGGGAGAAGAACGCCGCCATGCGGAGCTGCGATTGACCGAGGCCGGGTCGAAGCCATAGGCGGCGGCGAGCTCTTCAAACACGCTCTGGGAGAGCTCGGACTCCATCTGCTCGTCGCCGAACAGCAGTCCGGGACGGGCGTGGTTGGAGGAGTAGGACGAGGACGGTTCGTCCCTTGCCCAGGGCGAGTAGGTGTCTTGTGGCGCTGCATCCACCACGTCGCGCTTCGAGGCGGTGGGCGAGGCTTGGGACGCAGCGGATGCAAACGCGCGCGAGGACGAGGGAGCATTGAGGTCGGGCTGTATGGAGATGGCGTTGTTGATGGAGCCGCCCGTGGGTGTTCGAAGCAGCCAAGGTGCAGGGGAGCGTTCGGAGCAGGAGGGATCGAGACGCTGCAGGGAGGCCGGATGCAACGGGCGCATAGCGAGCTCTCCATGCTGGCCGCCTGCAGCGAGCAGGCCGGAACCGGTGGTGAGGCAATTTGGCTGAAAGTCGAGGGTGCAGTAGACCGAGGGCGGCTTGAGCGGGTTGGAGAAGTCGGCATGCTCCACCTGGAGGCGGCTGACGAAGAGCACGTTGTCCTTGACGCCCGTGGGCTGGAGGAGGTCGCGCAGCTGGAGGTGGTGGATGTTGACGCGTGCCGGGATGATGTCCGGCACGGTGTCGATGTGGTGCACGCCGCGTGTCATGATGGGCAGCAGTGCGAATGAGGGCCAAGCACGATGCACCTGCGACCACGACGACGACGAGGAGGGTGCGAGGGGATGAGGGGATGAGGGGATGAGGGGATGAGGAGGGTGATAGCAGCCAGCTCTACCGAAGCAGTGGGCGCTCGAGACCTGCATGCACCCTCCTGCAGCCCACTTTTGGAGCGAGAGAGAGAGTGTGTGTGCGTGAGACAGGGCCAGTGCACGAACCGCTCATCAATGCGCATTGCTCCACATGACCCACGTCCAAACGCAATCCCAGCTGCAGCCCCGCACTCACAGACTCGCAACTGCGCTTCACCGCGTCATGGGGGCGATTTTTGGGAATTGTTAGACCGTCGCTGATGTGTACCGGCAAAGTTGGCGAGGGGTCCAGCCCTTTGTCTCTCGCCACGTCGTGCGCCCTTTCCAACTTGGCTGACGGCGCCGCGCACCATATCCGAGCTCAGCCCGCCCTCACTCTGCTCCTGTGCCGCACCACTCGGAAAAAAAAGGGAAAAGAAAAGAAAACAAAAGGAAAAAGAAAAAAAATAATGTCCACGATGGCCAGAAGTCAGAAAGGATTTGCGTTGGCGCTACCAACCAGCCAAGCCTCACCATTGTTGCCCTGCAAGCACACGCCTAGCTTCATCATGGCTCAGTCGTCTTGCTCGAGACAAAAGCACGGAGTAGCCTGAAGTAAAGCGTGATGAAATGTGGTGAGGTCTGGCGTTTGCATGAGCTGTGGCCAAACAAAAGAGCATGGCAATCGCAAGATTCATCCACATCCCATCCCGCCATCGGCCGCCTTGAACGAGTGGCTCTGTCAGACTGAGGAGCAGAGAGGCAGATTGTGAAGCTGCAGATAGGCACACCGGCACTCACACAAGCAATCTTTGAGCTGCGCTGCTTCCGGATCCATCGGTCGTACGTCGAAGCTAGGCAATCGCAATGGCAGGGTCCCCTCACCGGCTCGTGTCAAAATCCGGGCGGCGGTGCGCGCTTTGCGCTTTGGCAGGCTTTTGCATTACGGTCCATGCGGGGCGCGGATGAGTTTGTGAGAGGGAGAGAGAGACTGCGGTGCAGTGCGTTGACAAGCCGCTTGTCGAGGGCGGTGTGCCCACAATGCGCAACGCACAACGCTCGCAAAGCAGGCACCAGCCAGCCTCCCACAACCCCAGAACAGCTCAGCACAGCTCAGCACAGCACGGCCTATCGCTGCCTTAAACCTTGATCCCGCAATCCCGAGTCGGCCACTCCATCTCCTCTCCTCACCAAATCACTGCTCGCCATCGCCACGATCCAGCATTGCATCGATCCTCTGCCACAGTGCAAGCCATTGCTGCCTCTTGCACTAGCTGATCATCCTGCACAGGTACGTTGCAGCTCCTTCTCGCCCGCATCATCCTCCCGGCGCTCTCCTCGATCATCGCGCCGTCTCCTTCCGATTCAGTAGCTGCGTGACGCCTGCGATCCACAGTGAGATTGCCCTGTCCACCAACATCGGCTGTGTCTGTGCTGCTCTCTTCATCGCGCAGCATCGATGCTCGTTCTGCTGGCTGCCCACTCCTTTCCGTCGGCATCCCCTCCCCTCTTCGTCCTTTCCATCCTCTGATCCCCCAGCTCGCCCCACCTGCGAGCGGCGAGCGTTGGCATCTGCGCTAGGACCGCCTGACCACACGTGCATGCACCACCTCACTGCAACTGCCACCGCTGCTTCTGTCAAGAGCGCCATGCTGACCATCCTTTGCCCTTTTTTCTGCACTCGGCCGCCTGCATGCGCAATTCTGCCTTTTTCGCGCTGTTTCTTTTGCGGCGGTGGCCAACGACGTTACGTCCAACATCTGCATCTGCTTCTCCCGTTCATGTCACGCTGCCCATCCCTCTCTGCCGCTCATCCTCCCCCTCCCCTTCCCCACATCACCCTCCGCCGCCGTCGACATCGGACCCACCGCTTCTTCCACCTCGTACACTCACATCTCCTCATGCACCGCTCGCCCTGTATGCCTTGCCCAACTCGCTTCTCGCCTTCCAGCTCCACCCACGTCTAATCTCGCCTTGGCCGTCAACTACGGCTCGGTGGGCGCATCTGGCTCACGCTCCAAAAAATTCCGCATCGCCCCTCACCTTCCTTCCCCTCCTCACCACCATCCACAGCGGCCGCTCTCTGGCCCGAGCATTCCTCCGCCATCCCCCCCGCATCTCCTGCCATCCCTCCGCATTCACTTCATCTCCCTTGCGCTCCCACACCTCGTCGCATTCTTTCTTTTTTCCTCTTTTCTTCTCCCGCTTCTTCCTCTGCGCACAACCTTGTCCTCTTTTTGGCCGGTGGCCTGCGACCTCTGTGCGCCGTGCATGCCGCTCAGTCGCATCACCCTCGCATCCCTGCCGCACATCGCATCCTCTCCCCCTTCTCGTCCCTCCTTCGCGCGTGCACGGCCGTTGGGGCCATCATCGAGTAGCTAAACCCGCCTGCATCGGGTCGAGTCCACCGTCGTCTTCGCAGCCATGTCGACCTCTTCCCTCGCCGCCACGGGCCTCACCGCCTCCAAATCCGGCCTCCAGCAGCAACAGCAGCAGCAGGCCCTCCTCGATGCCGCCCCTTCCACCTCCGCCACAAAGTCCGCCGCTCCCGTCACCCGCGTCGCCATCAGGGACGGCAAGATGATCGGCATCAACGACCACATCTACCTCTCTCCCGCATGGGCGCCCGGCGCAGGCGAGCCATACATGATCGCCAGAGTCATGGAATTCGTCACGGCCGCCTCCTCCCGCAGCGGCGCCGCCGCCCTCGCCAGCAGCTCCGGCACCTTGCAGGTCCGCGCCAACGTCTTCCTCCGCATGCGCGACATCAGCCTACGCTCCACAAACGACCCGCGTCTGCTCGTCGCAACCATGCACTCGGACGTATTCAGCCTCGAAAACGTCCGCGGCATCTGCGAGGTCCGTCACCGCGATCTCATCGGCGCAGGCACCGCCCCCGACGTCTCCCAGTGGAAGAAGAAGGAGGATCACTTCTACTACTACCAGCTCTACGACAGATACATTCATCGCTTCTACGACGTCGTCCCCACCGAAAAGGTCCAGAACGCCCCTCCAGAAGTCCTCACCACCCTCCGCATGCGCTACTCCTTTGTAGTCGCAGAGGCCGGCATGATCAACGACCTCACCGACGCCCTCCGAGGTTGCGCCGTCTGCCATCGCTGGGCGTCCGGCCCCGAGTCCGTCCGCTGCGACACTTGCAAAAAGTTCTTCCACATGAAATGCCTCAACCCACCGCTCGCTTCCAAGCCTGCAAAGGGTTACAGCTGGACCTGCGCCCCTTGCTCCCGCCAGCACGAGCAGCACGTCGAGCACACCCTTCAGAATGGAGGCCAGCTCGCCTCGGCTTCGGCTTCGGCTTCGGCCACCGCAAGCCCAAACACCTCCAATCCGTCAAGGCATCAGATCACCGCCACCGCCAACAAGCCTCGCGGCTCAGCCCGCGGTCGCGGTCGATCCTCGTATCCGAGAAGGAGCATGGCCGGCCGAGCAGACGACGTGGCGTCAGCCACCAACACCCCCGACGGCACTCCCGCGCCAGAAAAGTCCTCGGACGACATTCGCGGCACCCGCTGCTTCAACCGCTGGCCCTACCGCTACTTTGGACAACACACCTCCGCCATGGACGTGCTCGACCCGCACGACTCGGTCTATCCCATCGCAACAACTCGCCTCGGGCCCAAGTACCAGGCCTCGCTCCCCACCTGGGACGAGCAAAAGGAAGCCGGCCTCGGCGTGCACTGCCGAGGCAAAGAAAAGGCCAAGGAGGAAGAGGCCGGTGCTGGTGCCCTGCCGGCTGCCGAAGCTTCCGTAGCAGCGGCCGCAGAATCATCCGGAACCCCCGCGCCCGCCGGCTCCACCACCGTTCCGCACAAGAAGAAGGGCCGCCCTTTCAAGCGCAAGAGAGAAGCCCACGAACGCTCCGATACCCCCACCACCGGCAGCAGCACCCCAGCCATGCCACCCGTTCAGCTCCCCGCGGAGCCACCCGAGTTCGACCGGGGCGGCGACCAGAGCGTTGAGCCCATCTTCCTCCCAGACGCCGCCAAGTCCGACAAGGAGCTCGACGCATACATGCAGGCGGTGCGCGCCCACTTCAAGTCCGTGCCGCCCCACCACGTCGATCTGATCAACCGCGCGCTCATGACCTTCACCCAGAAGCAAGGCGATCCAGTGCAGGCGCTCATGGCCATGTCGGCCAGCACGCTCAAGCAGCTGCGCATCACCAACTGGTCCGCAAAGGAGGCCAAGCAGTTCGAGGCCGGCATCGCGCAGGTCAACTCGGATATGAAGCAGCTCAAAAAGTACATCCCCACCAAAAAGGTCTCGGACATCGTGCGCTACTTTGTCGTATGGAAGGTGCAGCGCATCAAGGCGGACCTCGATGCAATGCACGACGCCAAGCCACAAGGTGGCTCCAGGAAGCTTAGCGGTACCAACGGCACGTCGACGCCGGCGCCCAAGCCCACCACCTCGCGCGCCGTGTCGCCCTCACTCTCGGTGTACGGCGACAGTGAGCCGTCGGGCGCTTCGACTTTGTGCGCCATGTGTTCCACCACCTCGAGTCGCATCTGGTACAAGGGCCCCGCCTCGCTCGCCAACCGCGTGCTCTGCGTCAACTGCGGCCTCTACTGGCGCAAGTATGCCGCCGAAACGTTCAACCCGGACCTCGTCTCGGTCAATACGCGCAACAAGTCCGGCACCGCCACCGCCGCCAGCACCGCCGCCTCCGAGGACGGTCTTGGTGTGGCGCCGCCGAGCAAGATCTCGCGCACCTCGCGCGATTCCAAGGCCACCCCGCCTGGTGTTGCCGGCTCGAGCCCGGCGCCGCCCTCGGTGCCGCGACCCGAGCC